AAACAATGACATAAATAAATTAATGCCTATCAATTATAATTGTCACAGTGAAAGGCCTTGATTTTCTAGATTAACAGAATGAATCAAGAAACAAAATTTAATGGAATGGTACATTCAAGAAACACATTTAACCCAAAAGTAATTCACAGACTAAAAATCAAGCATGGAAAACAATATTCTATGCAATGGGAACTCAGAAACAAGCTTGAGTAGATATTCTCTTTTCAGAAATACTGAACTTTAAGCCAAAACTGATCCAATGAGGCAAAGAAGTACACTACATACTGGTTCATGGAACTATTCTACAGAAAGAGATACATGCCCCAAACTACAGTGCACCCAACTTCATAAAACATGATGGACATAAACAATCAGAAAAACATCAATACAGTTATAGTGTGGGGACTCAATACCTTACAATCACAAATAGACAGATCAACTAAACAAAAAAATCCATGAAGAAATATGAGAGTTATAACGGCTGATATATTGTGTCAACTTGAGAAGTCCAGAAGCTTAAGTAAGCAACTCAGCAGAAGACATGCCCTGGAAAACTGTTCACATGCTAGGATATTATAATCATTGATTTATTTTGTCAACTTGAAAAATTTAGAAGTTTAACTAAGTGACTCAGCAGGATTCCAGGGTACTCACTTTGTAAACATCCTGAGTCTGTGCAAGAGGAGGGCACAGAGATGATGTGAGTGGTATACCCATCCTTGGTGAGGAGTAGCCTGCTTACAATATAAGGAAGGAAAAGAGGCTTACTCTCCCCCATTTTTGTTCTTGTTGCTTTTCTGTCTTCTGCTGCCTTGAACTGTTGCCCCTCATCATGCCACTCTATCATGGAATCAGCTGACTATGGACTGAAACCTCTACAAACTGTAAGCTAAATCAATCTTTCCATCCTTAATTTTGGGTGTTGGGTATTTTGTCTCAGGAACAAGAGAAAAGTAATTAAGAGTTGAACCAAAGCTTTGAACAAAATTACTTAATAGAAATATACACTGTTAGGTCTAACAACAGAATATACATTCTTTTTGGCAGTATGTGGTACTTTCCTCAAAATAAACCTTATGCTGGCTAATAAAGCATGTTTAAGTAAATGACAAAGAAATGAAATATTACCATGCATATTAGCAGATCACAGGGCAATGAAACTGGAAATCAATAGCAAAATAGGTAGCATCTCAGGAAGATAAAGAGCTGTTATGTGCTCTGCCATAACAAATGAGATTAATGACTTTATCAAAGAAGCCCGAGGGAGCTTGTTCACCACTTCTACTTTTTGAAGATAAATCAAGATACAATCTTTGGGATGCAGAATAAACCCCCAGCAAATACTGAATCTAGTGACAGCTTGATCTTGGATTTCACAGTCTCCATAACTGTAATAAAATTCCTAAGGTTTATAAGCCAGCCAGTCTATAGCATTTTATTAAAGCAACTCAAGAAAATTAAAGACACTAATCATGATACTGTTTTTGTATCTAACATACATGTTGGTAGATATTGAATAGATCCACGCTTTGCAGGTCACAAATACAAAGTGGTTTTCAATTAGCACTGCCACCAGTTGTGATGGGATCTAGACCCTCCCCAGAACTTCATATCATTTGTTTAGTACTTAAACATTCTACATCACATCTAGGTGTGAGTAGGCTATAGGTGACATGTCTAGAATTGAAAATGTGGAATTTGTTCTTCAGAGTATTTATCTCGCTTTGAAAGACCTCAAATTATCTTTTCAGTTTCCTCTTTCATACTCCTAGTCTCTGACTTCAGTATTTGTAGTCATTCCTTTGAAATAATTTTCTCTGCAGAATTTTTGGTAACGTATTCACTTGCCTGTAATTTGGCTGCCTTGCCTACATCGACAGCTAAGTTCACTGCCAGTAATTTCTCAAGCCTGAATGTCTCAAGCCAAGCCCTGTAGAAATGAAGAGATGTTTCTTTCTTACTGTTTTAAAACAATACCTCTACGCACTATTCTCTGACACTTAGTGAAAGACAGTCTTCAGATCTAGACACCAATAATTATTGACAGATGTCTGTAAAAGATTCACAGAAAATGATGGCCATATCAATGGACACTTCATTGCAAGGAACTATTTGTCACAGTGAGAAGGATTGTAAGGAAAGTGATACATAATTATATTAATCAAGGTTCAGTCATGGAAGTGAAGCCATAATGAACATCACAAATAGGAAACTTATTATAAGAATTATACCTTGGATGTTTGAAAGAATCACACAGGGAGGTAAGGATGCAAAAGATGGAGTGAATGAATCAAAGAAAATCATTACTGAGCCAACTTGCAAATGAATGAACTGGAGCTTGTGTGGAAGACTTCAGAGAAGAGATGGGAATTAAGCCAAGCCTCAGAAAACTATTAGGATATAGATAAAGAGAAAAGAGTGCTCTGAGCTGCTTATACTGGAGCTCAACATTCACTGTATATTAGAATCACCTTAGGAGAATGTTTTTTAACTTCCTTCTGTTCAAGATTCACCTCAAATCAATAAAATAAAATCTCAAGATATGGGACCTAGACTCTGGCATGTTTTCAGAGTTCCCAGGTGACTCTAATCTGCAGGCAGCACTGAGACTAACCACTGAAGTAGGTAGAACAAGATGAGCAAGGCTCTCATTATTTTAATGTTATAATAACACTTAGCACCTGCAAGGTCTTTTCATGCCCCTGGCATTTAACTTGAAACATATATTAATTACTTACCAAGAGGAAATCCCAAAGGCCTTCCCTTGGCCCCAATCATAAGCAGGAGTGTGAACACCTGGGGGCTCGATCCATGCTGGCAATGCTCACTCCTGTACCTCCTGCCCACCCACACAGCACAGGATGGCAGTGCTCTCCAGGGATCTCCCACAGCACCCTGCTCGCACATCTGCTGCACATACCCATGGATACACAGGGTAATGTGTCTGGTTCCTTTTGGTTTATCCCAACAGACAGTGTAGCAAGCACTGAGCCTAACACACTGGCATTCACAGTAGTAACTAGAGTGTCTAATAGTTTTTGAGTCACTAGAAAAATGAACAAGCTGATGAAAAACCAGTTAGCAAAATACATGCACTCAGATTTAATATCTCTTACATAGGGGAGTTGTTTTCATAAATTTTCTGACCTCCTGGATCTAGATCTTGTGTAAGTAAGCAGACAATACCATCTAGGGCTTTGCTTTCCTCATTAACCTCTAAAGTCTCTCCCACATTCACCTGTGAAATTCAGACAGCATCCTCAGCATTTGCAATTCCTCTGGAAGCACCAGCATACCTGACAGACCGTGATCCCCTTAGCAATTTAGAATGAGGCAGAGCTCAACTGCCACCTATCCACCCAGAAAAATCATTAATTAGCCTTCAAATTTATATAAAATGTACTGACAAGATACTTCACTTATAGTCAAGATACTTCAATTTCCATTTGCAAACAGGTTGCTGTAATATAAGTGTTGCTGTGAAAACTAAGACATTTCTACCTCCAGCAGTTTTAGAATTATCTCATGTACTTTGTACACAATTTTATTACAAACTATTGCATGAATTTCTTAACCCTCAGTTTTGTAACTGATTCTGTCTGATCTTGTATTTTGTTCCAGTCATCCATATAATTCTTGCCTATTGCCAAAAGCACAAGGTTCTTGAAGATGGGGCAATGATGTTTCCCATGTATCTATTACAACAACTAGAAATTCATGAAAGCATGAGCTTTGTTTTATTCACTGTGAAGTCTTCTCATCCTTCTTCTAGAATGGGACACTTCTGAAATGGGACATATACTAGAACAACATTAATGCAATAATGGTAGTAACATAAGGAAATATCTTTATTGCTGTATATAATCTGCTAGACTTAATAATTAATATTGACTCATATCTGTTCTCAAAATCTGAGAACTCAAATTTTCCTCATTATATTTTTTTCTTAACCCATAGCTTGTGTATCTGACATTAAATGCCTTCAATCTGGCATTTCTGACTACTTAAATGAGTCCCCTATATTGGAATGCATTTATGCCACAAAATACTACTTTCAAAGAGATATCATTACTCTAAAAGATGTCTTTGAAACTCAACAGACGTCTCCAAATTCTTGCATTGGCTCAGTTCTGTTACACATTGAAAAGAACATCATAGGAACATGTTTAATGCTTTCACTTGATTTCATAGAGTGTCTACATTTCTAAAGCGCTCTTCTTAGCCCTAAATAAATTTTGAGATAAGATAAAAAAATAGTAAAGAGTTGTAAACTGACAACATTCTGGTCTAGGTGTGCTATTTACTGGAAAAGTCTTGTTATTAGGAATAACAATGTGCCTGTTTTAATTTTAGCTGGGTAGTCAAAGGGAATTATGTTGCTAAATCTCAAACTTTTTATTTAAAAAGTAATGATATTGAGCCACAACACCAATTTTTAAACTTAAAATGTTCTTATTTCTATGTGGGAAGGATTACTATAATGACAACTAAGATAGACAAGGGTTAACTGCAAGCATCATTGAATCCACATACCGTTATATTGTGAATGAATGACATCTCACACAAACTTTATCAGTGTTCATGGATTGTATTATGATTAAATAACAATTCATTTCATGAAAAATCCTGCTAAATTTAGAGTATTTGCCATTAATCATTTTCTCCCTCACATGAATAATTATACAAACAGCATCCTGTATTCCTCTGTATTTGGAATTACCAGTTTAATGAATCACTAGAAATCTTTCTAGTTCTTAAGGGTCAAAAAGTACACATTACTCTAAGTATGAAAGGTTTTAAAGAAGAATTAGAGGCTTAACTTTAAAGAATCTTAGAGTGAAATTTTCACAGAAGCTAATGCTAAGTATCTAAACCTGAACCTCCAGGGCCAAGAACTTATGATAACTTGCCAGAAAGTCTTCTAATATGTAACAATCTCTATGAAGCGCCCACTAACACTCTAAGACTACAGCAGTAAAGAATGACTCTTAAGCGCTTACCATAAAGTTCCTATGGATCTCACATTTATTCATACATCTGGCTGCAGTTGTCTTCCCAAAATATAGACTTCTTTTCTTTTGTCTTCTCATTTTAAGCAAGTGGAAAATACTAAATTAAAACTAAATATGAAAGAGAACAATTGAAAAGACTTATTTTTTGCTTCTCTTTTGTGTTGCAGAAGACATCTTAGCAAAATATAGAATGCATACCAGTTTTACAATAGACAGTCTAGCACAGACTGCTCCTTTGTTGACTTAAAACCTCAGCAGCATTTTGCTCATTTTAGATGTTAAATAAAAGATTGTCATCTAATGAGACAGAATGAACTTTACCTCACAAAACAAATACTTGTGATATCTTGCTTTAAATAGACACAAAGCCCTATATAACATTTTACCTTTCATTTTTAATCACAGACTAAATTTTCTCTCATGTTATAATTTAATCCCTGAGTTTAATCCCTCATTTATAATTAATTACCACAGTTGTTGTTATAAATAGGAGATAGGAAATGGAGAGGACTATTATGCACATATAGCAAAGTGAGGCAATAAAGAAAATATGAACAACTAAAAAGTTCTTATTTCGCTAACTGATCATGTAAGCAGAGTTAGTTCAAAGCTTTCATTCTTAAGTCTTACATTTCATGTTTCCTTTGCCTTCAGTCAGCAACTCAGTTGTTCATGAGTCAATTTTAACTTGGTGGGATATTTGATGACAGATGAAATGGGAGATACCCACTGAGGTCATAGAAAACAAATACAAATCTAAGCTGCATCTACTCCAGTGAAAATAAACTGTCACCTTTTCTCCAACAAATGAGGTTCAATCAAACCTACTGTCACCAAGTGATTGACTCTTCATCCTGGGAACGGTGCCATAAAAAGGTGCATTGCCAGTATTTTCTGATAAAAGGATTAACATTCCGCTGTATAGTAGCCAAAGCAGACTTAATGAAAAAAAGTGAAGCATGTTTTGTTTCCGAAGAACACCGACCCTGTCATTATGAGTACACCATAGTCACAAGGCCACTAAACGATAACCAGGGTCTCTGGGGAAGGGAGCCAACAGACAAACAGGACAGTCCTTCTCCACCTGACTTGAAGGAACTACTTCTGCTTTTTAGTGAAATTTTAAGTGAGATATAAATATACCACATATACCCCCCATTCTCTGAGAATCTGCCACAAATATTTACCCAGACTTTGTTATGACCAACATTCTAGAATTTTTTTTTTACTAAATCCATGACTAACCAATCCCTAATTAAATGTAGCCATATTTCTTTTGAAGAAATAAAAAGTTGCAATCCTCAAAATTATCCCACTTGGGATAATTTTCAGTGCTCTTTAGAGTGAAGTTATTTTTCTCAGCTATTCACTTATTTGGGTCGTGGCACTGTATTTTGAACAAGTATTTGTAAAACAAATCTATATTTTCCCATAGTCACTTCTTAATAGAGAACTTCTCATAGACACATGAGGAAAAGAGGTATTATTGTTGAAAAAGTACCTCTGAAACTAAAATAAACATTATTGCCAACTATACCAAAAAGAATTTGATAAAATAACTTAGAGCTATGACCATAGTCTGCAAAAATCTTTCATATGTCTACTGTTGTGTTTTTTTTAGAACTCAGTGATACATGTGGAAAAGCCAAGGTTAACTTTCGGAATAATGAGAAACACTTAGTCCAAGCCCCTCCATTGTTCTAGCTTGTAGCCAGTCAACAGCCACACATATTAATGAGACAATCCTAAATGATGAGCTGACTCTTACGGTGTCAGTAGTTACATGAACAAATCTAGCAGAAATCAGTAAATCCACCCAAGACCAGAAGAAGTCATCCAACTTATCCATAAAATATGAAAATCATAAGATAAATGATTGATTCATGGTATCAGTCAGGTCATCCTATAAAATTTGGGTGGAAGCCTCCTTGATTCTGGAACTCTTGCATTCTTCCTGCCAGTAAAACGAGAATCATGTGGGTGATGCCAAGGTCTACTGTCAGTTGAAGCAGAAGCCAGCTCCCCTTGGAACATGGAGTAATGGCTTTTAAGTGCTTAGATGGATGAACTCAGTGAAATCAACCCACAGAGCCAATTCCTTTGGTGGTCTTTTTCTAGCAGGGATCCTAAGGATTCTCTTCCAAAGGAAAGTATTACATTTCTATAATCTTAATCCTGTAATGGATGAAATTTTTTATGATCTCTTAGATACCCTTAAGGCATCTTGTTTTTCATGTAAAAAGAATTTGTTTTCTTTAAAAAAATGTATATTATTTCTTCAAAAATCACACCTCCTTTGAACCCAACTTTACACATGGTTTCTTTGAGGCCAAATTTAAGGATTTCTGAATTACTCTGCTACACTCTTTGTTCCTGAATCTCATTGAAGTTCTCCCTAAAAGCAGCTAAGAGTACCCATGCAGCTAGTAGTGGTACCTTTAAAATTGGTCTAAAGTGAAATGTCCTGAATCAGATCAATTAGTCTATGGCCTTTAAATTCAGCCTTCTGTAGAGCTTTAGCAATGAACAAGCTGTAGAACTTTTTGTTTTAGTTTTTCTTGGATTTTGCCAGAGCATAACATACTTATACTCTAGTTCATTTTCCAAATGTTCTTTTTCTGAGTCTGGCCTTTTCTGTCCCAGGTCCTATTAGCATTCTGGTCTTCTGAGCATGGGCAAGAATCTCCTATCAAAGTCTGCTTACAACATTCTAGGGCTTGGCTATCCTGCATCTTCAAATCATTTCAAACTTTTTCTTCAAGTCAGTTCAAAAATTTGTAAGCCACATGGTCAGGAACAGTCAGAGTAATAGCCCCATTTCTCCAGTACTTATTTCCTATATTAATCAGCTTTCCCATTGCTGGACAAACTACCTGACACTCACAAGCAGAAGAGGTTCATTTGTTTCACAGTTTTGGGGAATTTCAGTCCATGGTCAACTTCTTCCAAGTTAGGAACATCATGGATGAAGGGTGTTGCAGAGTATAGCTGCTTCATTCATGGTGGCCTGGAAATAGAATAAATGAAGAGCACAAAGTCATCAGAAACTAAATATGTTCACCAACAGTCTCAGATACTTCAGAAGGTGGGCTTTTAGAAAATGATAAGATCATGGGGACTTTTTACTCAACAGAAACAAATACATGACTGAATGTGATAATAAGAAGTGGAGCCTGGTCATAAGAGGTGAGCCACAGGAGGGGTACATCTCCTTTCCGGGTCCTCCATTTACTCACTACTACCTGGCCACCATGACATGAGCAACTTTCATTACAGCAGTTTCTTCTACAGTGTCAGTTTCTGTGTTTGAACCTGCCAATCATGATCTGAAACTGTGAAAATAAAAATAAACCTCTCTTTCTTTACATTTTGGATAGCAAATATTGTGCCTCAGCAATGAGAAAGTGACTAACACAGTACCCATGGTCTTGCTTCCATGATCCACCAAGACAATACTCAAAAGTGTGCTTTACTAACTTTTTAGGCATTTCTTAATCCAATCAAATTCACATATCACAATTTCTAGTCACAGTCACTTAAGTTTGGGGTTATTGGCTATGCCATAAAAGTATCTTATATGAAATAAGCCAGGTGCTCATGTACTTCAATTATATATTGAGAAATTTCTCAATACTAAATGTATATCTTCTGCCTATTCCTTCTTAGAAAGACTCATGCTTAGAGTCCTTTATAAATTCTATAAATGTATATTTCACTTCAGTGAAATTATAGATGGTCCTGAGTATACCCAGATATGTGGGTCATATAGTGCATAGAGTGTCAAGTTACAAATGTATAGTTAATGTCACACACCAGTTGACTTCCTACAGTTAAGTATTTGTCTCTGCCAGGGCCCTGTAGAAACCAGTCTTCTTTTCAAAAGAATTATACTTATTTAAACATAACAGCATAGATACCTCCCCACATTTGGGTTACATCAGCAGCTAAGGGGGACCTTGGTCACACCTCCCACATACAATCTCAGCAAGCAAGGGGAGACTCAATGACCCCTTCCTCCAACCGCAATACCTCAGTGGACTGGGGGGAGCCTTGGCATCATCTCTCTCCCACCCAGAGGACCTCAGAAGGCTAGTGAAAGTATGAGTCCCCACCCAAGCAGAGGAGCTCAACGGGTCAACAGGAGCTTCAACAAACACTCCTCTCACCTAGAGGACATGGACGAGCCAGGGAGAACACAGGTGAGTCTTCTTCCATACAGAGAACACCAGATGGGCTGACAAAAGTGCCAGTGAGGCTTCCCCAACAGGAGAAACCAAATTGGACCTATAATAACCCCTAGTTACACAGTAGGATTCTGGCTTAGTTGTAAACAGTAGACAGGTGGCTCTGGTGACCTGTCAAAGCAAAAGTAACAAAGTCCATACAAGAGAGGAAATAATAACTATCAGAATAGAAGTGAACACAATTGAGACTAAGAAAACAATACAACAAATTGATGAAGAGTTGGTTCTTTGAAAGAGTAAATAAAATTTACAAACCCCTAGCCAAGCTTATCAAATAAAAGGAAAGAAAAAACTCCTCCATGCAATAAGGAATCAAAAACATGAAATCACTACAGAAGATCATCAATACCTACTTCAAAAAACTTTATTATCATAGATTTGATAACAGAAGAAATAGATTCCTAGAAATATATGATATATCAAAGCTGAATCAAGAAGATATAAAAATTCTGAATAATCAATAACAGCTAATGGAATTGAAAATGTAATAAAAAGCTTACCAACAAAGGAATGCCCAGGTACTAATGGATTCACAGCTGAATTCTACAAGAAATTTAGAGAAGATTTAATGCCAATTTTCCTCAAATTCTTTAATGAAATAAAAAGGAAAGCAATGCTCTCGAACTCATTCCTGAAGGCAAGTATTAAATTACACTGATACCAAAAACAGGGAAAGACTCAAACAGAAAAGAGAACTTAGGCCAATATCCCTAATGAAGATAAATGCAAAAACTCCTCAGTAACACATCAGCAAATAGAATGCGGCAAATCATCAAAAGATTTTGCATCATGACCAAATGGGATTCATTTTAGGAATGGTTCACCATATGCAAATCAATAAAAGTAATACATCATAGCAACAGAGCCAAAGACAAAAGTCACATGATCATCTCAACAGATGTAGAAAAAGCTTTTGACAAAGTCCAACACTCATTCCTAATAAAAAAAATCCCTACAGAAAATTGGAATATATGGGATTTGCCTCAATCTGATAAAAGATATTTATGACAAACCAATAGCCAACATCATACTAAATGAACAAAATCTGAAAGCTTTAACTCTAAAATCAAAAACAAAACAAGAATGTCCACTATCACCACTCCTATTCAATATAGTACTAGAAATGTTAAAGCAATTAGACGAGAGAGATAAATAAAGAAATAAGGATAGGAAAGGTTGAAGTTAAATTATCATTACTTGCAGATGATATGATACTATACAAAAAGACCCCAAAATTCCACCAAAAGACTCCTAGAATTTATGACCAAATTTGATAACATAGCTAGATACAAACTCAACATTCAAAAATCAATAGAATACTTGTACAAAAATAACAACTCAGAGAGAAATTAGGAAAACCACATCCTTCACAATAGTATCTGACTTGGTTACTTTACTCTCATTGTTGGGACAAAATACATGACCTCCAAAATGAAAGAAAGGTTCATTTAGCTCATGGTTTACAGAGGTTTCAGTTCATTGTTAACTGGCTCCAAGGCAGAATAGCATAGGACAGAGGCCACACTTCAAGGCAGCAGCCAGCAAACGCAGACAGAGCAAAAGGGGAAGAGTTGGCTTTTATCCTCCTTTTTTTTAGGATTTTTAAAATTTTATTTAAAAGGAAAAACAGAAAAAAACAAAACAAAACAAAGTGGTGGAAGGGTACAAGTAATACAGAACTACAAAAAAAAAAGTAAGAAATCACCAGTTAATAGAGCAGCAACTCTTTTCCAGGGCAGGGTGTAACACTCACAAAATCTCCTTGCCTTCCAATTGCACAGGATGAGGATATTTACAAAGCAAGAAAACTGGCTCCCTGCTAAGTCTATTAAACTTCTAAACTTCTCCATTGACACACTGTGTCAACCATAACAATATCAAAAAATAAGAATTAATATAACAAATGAAATTTTTTTAAAAATTATATATGTAAAATTATAGTACTCTGAAAAAAGAGAATAAAGAAGATATCAGAAAATGGAAACTCACACTAGAGTTATGGGCTTGCCAGCACCATCCATTCAAGAGGCTGGGTGGCCTGGAATGAGTGTCCCCACACCATTCCCCCAAGCCCAGCAAGTTTGGGGATCCTTGCTCAGCCCCAGACAGGGAATTCCACAGCTTCCTGTTGCACTGGACCAGCTCTGCTGCTCTTGAACCGGCCTGCCCCATCCCGAGTGAACCTCTCTGAATCCCTGAAACTGGGCAGCCAGAGACCCACGAGCTGAGGGAATAGAAAAGGATTTCCAACAGGTCCTGGGGAAGCCTTGTAATAACACTTGAAAACCAGAAATATAGGAAAATGACAGAATGAAAGACCAAATTACAATCTCAAACCTCCAGCCCATCCCAAAAAACTTTAGAAGCTATATACATGGAAGAAAATATATGCCATACACCTGAAATATCAGACATAATAGCAACTGAAAGAAAGAAACAATTCTGAGAAGCTTTAAAGGAATTCAAACTATAAATAATCTCCAAGGTAAAAGAAGAAATGATAAAAGAAATGAAAGAGATGCTGAACATATCTAAAGAAGACATAGTTTAAAAATTGGAGGAACTAAACAAAAAAGTAGAATCCTTGTATGAACAATATAAGAAACAAACAGAATACATAAAGCAGGTGCAAAGAGATATACAGAAAATCAAAAATTCCATGGAAAGCTGTAAAAACCACCTCAATGAAAATGAAGATACAATTTCAGACCTTGAAGACAAGATTGCAGCCAGTGAACAGGAAAGGAAAGATTTTTTAAAAATAACAAGAAATCAGGAAATAACAATTCAACAGCTGCAAGACAATGCAAAGAAAAACAACATACGATTGATAGGGATAAATGGAAAAGAAGGGGACAACATAAAGGATGTCAAGAGGATTTGTAGAAAAGTAATAGCTAAAAATTTCCCAAACACGAGATTGGGAACTGATATCAGGATCAGTGAAGCATATAGAACTCCAAATAGCCATAGCCAAAAATAAAACTACACCTAGACATATAGTAATCACCATCTCAGAAATCCAACAAAAGAATAGAATATTAAAAGCTGTCAGAAATAAAAGACAGATCACCTATAAATGAAAGCCTATCAGAATCACAGCAGACTTCTCAGCACAAACAATAAAGTCAAGAAGAGCATGCAGAGAAGTATTCCAGATCCTAAAAGAAAATGATTTCCAACCTAGACTGATGTACCCTGAAAAACTGTCCTTCAAAATGGATGGAGAAATAAGATACTTCCATGACAAAGAACAGCTGAAGAACTTCATGATCACCAAGCCAACCCTGCAAAGAATACTGAAAGACAGTTTAGTTACACTTAGGAAAAAAACCACTAAGCAAAGCAAACAATTAAACAGAACAGAAAGATAAAGATGCAACAGCAGAAAGATAACATGTCAACAATAAACCAACATATAACAGTTATAACCATTAATGTAAATGGTTTCAATACACAAATTAAAAGAAACAGACTGGCAGAATGGATCAAGAAACAACATCCAACCATATGTTGTCTACAAGAAATTTATCTAACCCCAAAGGATACTCACAGACTGAAAAGTCAAAGGAGGGAAAGCAATATTTCATGCAACAGGAACCCCCAAAAAGTGGGGGTAGCTATTCTGTTTGCAGACAATGTGAACTTCAAATCAATAATGATCAGAAGAGATAAAGTCATTACATACTCGTTAGGGGAAAACTTCAAGAGGAAGAGATAACAATCTTAAATATATATACACCAAATTCCAGAGCACCTAGGAATATAAAACAAGTATTAACAGAAATGAAAAACCAAATTAGCAGTAACACAATTATAACAGGAGAACTTAACACGTCACTGACACCAAGGGACAGATCAATCAAACAGAAAATCAGCAAAGAAATAATAGAATTGAATCACACCTCTGAACAAATGGACTTGATAGACATTTATTGAGTGTTTCATCCAACAATATCAGAATACACATTCTTCTGAGAGTAAATTGGACATTCTCTAAAATAGACCATATATTAACTCACAGAACATATTTAAATAAATGCAAAAAAAGTTGAAATTATCCCTTGCATGTTAATCGGATCATAGCGCCATGAAATTAGAAATTAATGATAAAAGATACTGCAAAAATCCCACAAACACATGGAAACTGAATAACACACTCTTGAGTAACCAGTGGGTCACAGGGGAAATTAAAGAAGAAATTAAAGAATACCTACAAGCAAATGAAAATACAAATACACCTTACCAGAATCTGTGGGATGCAATGAAAGCTGTCCTCAGAAGAAAACTTATTGCACTGAATTCCCATATCAGGAAAATAGAACGAATACAAATAAAGAACCTGATGTTACACCTCAAACATGTAGAAAAAGAAGAGCAAGTCAAGCCAAAAGCCAAAAGAAGGGAGAAAATTATAAAAATCAGAGCAGAAATTAATGCAATAGAAACTAAGAAAACAATCCAAAGAATTAATGAATCAAAGAGTTGGTTCTTTGAAAGAATAAATAAAATTGATAATCCCCTAGTAAACTTTATTTTTAAAAAAAGAAAGAAAAAGCTCAAATTCATGCAATAAGGAATGAAAAAGGCGAAATCACACTATTTCTACAGACTCTGTAGAAATACAGAAGATCATCAACACCTACTTCAAAAACCTCTACTCTCATAGATTTGATAACACAGAAGAAATAGGTTCCTAGAAACATATGAAGCACCAAAGCTAGATTAAGATGATGTAAAACTGCTAAATAACCCAATCTCTATTAATGAAATTGAAAACATAATTAAATCCTTACCACAAAGAAGAGCCTAGACCCAGACAGATTCACTGCAGAATTCTATAAGTACAAAAAAGACTTAATGCTGACACTCCTCAAACTAGTCAATGAAATTGAAAGGGAAGAAATCCTTCCTAAGTCATTCCTGGAAGCAAATATTACTCTAGTACCAAAACTAGAGGAAAAACCCAAGTATAAAAGAGAACTACAGACCAATCTCCCTAGGGAACACTGATGCAAAAATCCTCAATAAAATATTGGCAAATAGAATGCAGCAAAGCATCAAGAAAATTATACACCATGAACAACTGACATTCATCCCAGGCATGCAGGGATGGTCCAGCATACGTAAATCAATAAATGTAACCCACCATATCAACAGAACCAAAAGTCAGAATCATTTGATCATTTCTATAGATGCAGAAAAAGCTTTTGATAAGGTCCAACATTCATTTATGATAAGA